TGGACTTTTAGGTTTTCACTCAAAAAACCGAATTTTGGAAGGAAATAAAAGTGATCACAGATATCCATCCTTTTGGCCCTAGCTCTTCTAGTTTAGCCAGAAAATTGACTTTTAGTTTTTCACCCAAAAAATCGAATTTTGGAAGGAAATAAAAGTGATCACAGATATCCATCCTTTTGGCCCTAGCTCTTCTAGTTTAGCCAGAAAGTGGACTTTTAGTTTTTCACTAAAAAAACCGAATTTTGGAAGGAAATAAAAGTGATCACAGATATCCATCTTTTCGGCCCTAGATCTTCTGGTTTAGCCAGAAAATGGACTTTTAGTTTTTCACCCAAAAAATCGAATTTTGCAAGGAAATAAAAGTGATCACAGATATCCATCCTTTTGGCCCTAGCTCTTCTAGTTTAGCCAGAAAATGGACTTTTAGGTTTTCACCCAAAAAATCGAATTTTAGAAGGAAATATAAGTGATCACAGATATCCATCCTTTTGGCCCAAGCTCTTTTAGTTTAGCCAGAAAATGGACTTTTAGTTTTTCACTCAAAAAACCGAATTTTGGAAGGAAATAAAAGTCATCACAGATATCCATCCTTTTGGCCCTAGCTCTTCTAGTTTAGCCAGAAAATGGACTTTTAGGTTTTCACTCAAAAAACCGAATTTTGGAAGGAAATAAAAGTGATCACAGATATCCATCCTTTTGGCCCTAGCTCTTCTAGTTTAGCTAGAAAATGGACTTTTAGGTTTTCACTCAAAAAACCGAATTTTGGAAGAAAATAAAAGTGATCACAGATATCCATCCTTTTGGCCCTAGCTCTTCTAGTTTCGCCAGAAAATGGACTTTTATGTTTTCACTCAAAAACCGAATTTTGGAAGAAAATAAAAGTGATCACAGATATCCATCCTTTTTAGCCCTAGCTCTTCTAGTTTAGCCAGAAAATGGACTTTTAGGTTTTCACTCAAAAATCTAATTTTGGAAGTTTAGCCAGAAAATGGACTTTTAGGTTTTCACTCAAAAAACCGAATTTTGGAAGAAAATAAAAGTGACCACAAATATCCATCCTTTTGGCCCTAGCTCTTCTAGTTTAGCCAGAAAATGGACTTTTAGGTTTTCACTCACAAATCGAGTTTTGGTAGGAAATAAAAGTGATCACAGATTTTCATTATTACGGCCCTAGCTCTTCTAGTTTAGCCAAAAAATGGACTTTTAGTTTTTCATTAAAAAAAACGAATTTTGGAAGGAAATAAAAGTAATCACAGATATCCATCCTTTTGGCCCTAGCTCTTCAAGTTTAGCCAGAAAATGGACTTTTAGTTTTTCACTCAAAAAAACCGAATTTTGGAAGGAAATAAAAGTGATCACAGATATCCAACCTTTTGGCCCTAGCTCTCCTAGTTTAGCCAGAAAATGGACGTTTAGTTTTTCACTCAAAAAACCGAATTTTGGAAGGAAATAAAAGTGATCACAGATATCCATCCTTTTGGCCCTAGCTCTTCTAGTTTAGCCAGAAAATGGACTTTTAGGTTTTCATCGAGTTTTGGTAGGTAATAAAAGTGATCACAGATATCCATCCTTTTGGCCCTAGCTCTTCTAGCTTAGCCAGAAAATGGACCTTTAGTTTTTCACTCAAAAAACCGAATATTTGGAGGAAATAAAAGTGATCAAAGATATCCATCCTTTTGGCCCTAGCTCTTCCTGTTTAGGCACAAAATGGACTTTTAGTTTTTCACTCAAAAAACCGTATTTTGGAAGGAAATAAAAGTGATCACAGATCGATTTTTTCTTGATTACCCAGAAAATTGACTTTTAGTTATTCACCTTAAATTGTCTGTTATGTTGACAAATAGGACTACAAATAAAAACTAAAATTTGCCTCCTAAAAGCACAAAAAGCAACAAATTGAACTCTTGAACTTAATTTAAACAAATTCTTATTTTAAGGCCATAATTTTAACTCTTTCATTCCGGACTCACACAAGAGTAGGAGAATAAAGTAAAAAGTTATTTGTTGATAACTTAATAACAAATTATATTAAAAGTTTTTCTGTTTAGTTAGAAAAAAACTTACACCTTAGAAAGGTGACAATTTATTAAAAAAAAATTAACAAGGGTTGTAAGTTTTGACATGAAAAATTTTCCTTAACAGAAAAAAGAATATAAAACTAATAATAAATTTAAAATTTGGGATAAAACACCTGTCACATAAGGTACATGCAAGTAAATAACACACTTATAAGGTTGAATAGGAAAAAGGTAGATTTTGATATTTATATGAAATTTTTTGATATTTTTATTTAATCTTTAAATTTGTTTGATTAAAGCATATTTACTATTTTACTAAAGAACCTTTAGTGTTGGTATTTATCTTCAGTAATTAACTCATTTAGTAGAACAAATACTTTAATTACTAAAAATATAAAAAAAACAAGAATCAAAAATTATTGTTATGATCCGTTTATGAGATTTATAAATAAAACAGTAAAAACCTTTTGCCACACTATTAAAAGTAACGATTACAACTTTATTTTAAGTGAAACAAACTAAAACAACAAGTTCAAAAGCAATTAAAATAAATGAAAGAAAATGTATGTACATGAATAAAAACACAGTGGTTTTAAAAGCAAAAATAATTCAAATCTTCCTTTATTATTTTAAAATGCATTTTGTCAAGGCGTATGAGTTATATTTTATTTAGTACTTTTTCATCGCAGACCTGTGAGAAGTTGCTCGTTTTATATATAATTTTCCATAGTATATGGCTTTAAATCCACTGTACTTCAAGCGGACTAAGTAATTTCTAATATTTTTCTTTAAAACTGTTCATAACACAACATTAAACAACAACAAAACTACAATATTTCCCTAGAAAACAATTAAATCAATGGTAACATATTAGCAAAACGTAACTGACAATTTTCTTAAAATAAAATGTGTAATACAATAAAGACTTCTTTGTATGACTTTTGATATTTCAATACTACTATGAAAAATATTGCCAGTTACAGCTTGATAACATTTCACTATCTTTAAAAATTTATAAAAATTTTAAAAATACCTTTAAAAACTAAAACCACAACAAAATTTTTAAAAATAAAATGTTGCAGCATTAAAAAGAAAAACATTTCTAGCCAGTTTCTCACATACCCAACTAAAGATCAAGTATCTGGGTTATAACAATAATAAAAACAACAGTATAAAAAGGATTAAAGAAAACAAATATCTAAAAAATACATTTAGTATTTTCAATGTAAAAATATTTTACAACATACTAAATATATAAACATAATACTAGAACTAACAATTACAAAAAAATTTAAACATTTTTGTAAAATCAAAATATTAGTACTTGAGTTGGGGTTTTTATGAGGCCATTTGATTGTTTAAATAAATGTAGAGGGAAAAGAGGAGAGGAAGGATTTTTAGTAGTAATGAAAACGTGTAACACATTTGCTAAGTATAAGTGTTTATTTGCAAAAAAAAGTTAGTTACAGATTTTATAGTTTTTTTTTTATCTACTATATAAAGTAGATATTTATAAAATTTTATTGTTTTATAAACACACATGTGTTCTGTTGTAAAAGTTTTTATATTTTTAAATACTTGCAATACCTGACCTGTGTATTGGTCCATAAAGTAAGTTAATGACTGTAAACAAATTTTGCAATAATCATAAAAACTGTGTGTATGTACTTTCAAATGGATACAAAAATAGAGCAATTGCCACAAATTTAGTAAATATATAATGGATACAGTTGTAAATGTACACAAACAACAATTTATAATTGAAATTATTTTTAATTTTTATTAGAATCCTTTTTTATAAACAGAAAAAGAAACATGGTATGTAAATATGTTACAATTTAAATTATGAACATTTAAATTTACAAGCCTATAAGGCTTAGTTTTAGTACTAAACATTTATGATTAAAATTTCGGGGAAAATTTCATGCTGCTAATTTATTATGCTGTTGTACTACCCAGCAGTTCGGTCGGGCAATCCAGAACTACCTATTTAACCTAACACTGAAGTTTACCCTCGCCACTGGCTGCAAAGGTTTTAACATGTGCTTGTCCTATGAGGAAGTCAATGGTTAGCCCAGAGATTACGAAGAAACAGACAAATACTCTCTCTCGTACTCCGTGACGAATTATAGCCTACCAGGTGGTTAGACGTTAGTGGAAATCACTGTCTTTTTTCGGATGCATTGATTCTTTGTCGAACTGCTGGGTAACAACAATAAGTACAAACATATGTATGTAACAGAATAACAAAAACCTTAACTCGATACCTACATTGCTGTTTCCCCACTTCTGTCTCAGCGATATACAACAGACATAATTATATCCTTCATCCACAACTTTCAATCAAAATGTAGTATAATGGCCCGAACTCAACACAACAATAAACCATAAGTTAATTAAAAAAAGCAAGCCTTCTCCACGGAGCCACTGTTACAGCAAAACTTCACAGTAAGTTGTCTTAAAAGAATTTCCTACTTGGCAGAATATATTGATAATTTTTTATACATAAAGTCATTTGCGAATACATTTAAATTTAAAAACATTTTAGAACAAAGCTTATTCCTTAACACTACTTTTCCTAGACTGCACTTACCTTTAAATGCACCACAAAGCTGCTAGATTTGTAAATACCTATATTTTAACAATTATTTTTCATTGAATTTAACACTTTATTTTGTTTAAACACTATTTTCTTTTCATTTTTTTACAATTTAACACTAAATAGACCATTTATTTATAATAAATAATAATTTTTTCAAATTTCAACAAAAACTTTACATTTTTATTAACTTTCTTCGCAATTCGCGCGTTTTATTGACTGTTAAGCAGGTGAAAATGACAAACCTGTCATTATTTGTTGTTAATTTGTCAATTTTAATACCAAAAATTGCATCTTTGTATGCATTTTGTTGTACATCCACTTACTTATTACTTGCTTAACACAAAATGGAGGCGCGTCTTAATGCAAAAGAAATTTTTAAAAGCTTAAAGACAAGTGCAAGCAAATTTTTAATTTAAGACGAATATTAAAGTTAAATTCTAATAATTTCAAGATAAAACAAAGTTTTCAAAAAGTAAAAATGATTTTAAAGTGTAATAATTAAAACAAAGTGTTACAGGAATCATTTCAGCTTAAGGTAAGTAAATTTGTGGTGGGATACTGCTCAAGATGCCACTGACTTCAAAGAAACTTAAAATAACTTATAAACTAATAACCAGAATAAAGGAAAACTAAATTTTATATGTAATACTTTTTGTTAATACAAAAGTTGCTGCAAAAGCTAAGGTCTTGCGATTCCCTTCAAGTGAGTGTTATGAGAGGTTTCGTGATAATTCTGCTTGCAGTCTTTGGAGGTAGCACCTCCCTATAGTTTCTTTAAGATCTACCGAAACTATAGATAAATTGATTGCAGTCACAGGATTTGACACGTAAACCGACAATATCATAGAAAAGCTGGATCGCATCATCTTTTAGGTCAATGGAGTGAAAAAATGGTCTGTATGGATTAAATAAACTTTCTTTTCAAGATTGGAGTCCAAAGACAACCATACTAAAAGTTGATTGCTAGAAGGAATGTTATAATTTCATTTTTAACGCTTCCATATATGAAGGTCCTATTAATTACTTATAAGATTCTGGGGCCTCCGGTGTTCTAGTCTGGTAGACCGGAGGTGGTGGGTTCGATTTCCACCTAAGGGACTGGTAAAGGAGCACACAACAGACCCGATAGATACTTATGTGTATTTTATCGGATTTGATTTACATATAGGTAGGTATACATCCTCTTTTCGAACTTACTATTAAATTCTAAGACTAGCTTTGCCTGTCTATAAGATGAAGCTCTATATAGAAAAGCTAAATGTGTAGGAAGAAAATCAATATGTATACTGTTAGGAACGTCAGCCAAATCTATTAAAGAAAATTGGCTAAAAATAATAATAACAAAATTTCCATAATTATAAAATCCAAAACATGCATTCACAACTTTGCTACATATTAATGATTTATTTATTACTATTTAGGTATTATCTTTATAACAGAAAATATCATTTGTACAATATGAATTCTTCTTATCCTTTAAAACTAACAATAGTTATTTCTGTTAAATTAATATTGTTTATTTAAAAATTAACTTTTAAGCTTAGTAAATTATTTTTGTAAATTAAGTTTAATTTGTTTATTCAAAACAATAAAATATTTACCTATCTAACTAAACATATACGTATCCAAAATCCTACAGAAAAAAAGGTCACTATAGTAATTTAGAATTTATTTAAAACTTTTCTAATTTTCAACAAAGTTTAACCCTCAAACCTTTATTTCTACTTCAACAACAATAATGTACTTTAGTGGTATATTCATTTAATATGCACAACAATTGAAATTATGGCAACAGTTTCTGTGTGCAAACAGTTTTAATTTGCAAAATTGAAATAAATTGATATTGTAAATATTTTTTCCATTTTAAAACTACAACAGCAAACCAAGTTATTTTTTTCTCTGCTAGAAATTAAATAAATAAAAACAATTGTTTCTGTTGCTGTTAAGTACTCGAGCTCAGAGCACTCCTACATTAAGGAACTTATACCACTCATTTTAACTCATATACCATCATCACGTTTTCACAAAATGTTAAGCACGTAAAACATTTACCCATTTTTTTGGAATAAAGTATTTTTCGGAAAAAATAAACAGAAATAAATAAAATTCATTTTGAAAATACAGAAAAATCAGCAAATAAATTGAATTAAAATTGGCACCAGTTAAACCTACACCATATCCAAGTGTATATCACAATATTTTCAGGGAATGACAATTTTTTCAATTGTATTTTATAAATTGATAATAGTATTTTAAAAATTCTGTTTATTTTATAGCTAGAAATTTCTGAAATAAAACTCAGTTTATAATTGAATTGAAAATAACTATTGGAAATGGTATTATGGTGGCAACAGCATCAACACCAACAATAACACTAATGTCAACAATTCTGTGACATCACACCAACACACACCAGCAGCAATACAATAGTGGTATTATTTAGGCTTAAATTTGAGGGGCCAACACAATTGTTGTGTGTACGAATTTTGTGTTGAGGTAGTGATTGTATTATTGAGCTTTATTACTATTGTCGTTGTTACAACCTTGGATTTTGTTGCTGCACACAAACAACAACAACAGTGCGCAGTAATACGGGCCCACTTTATCGTTATTGGTGTTATTTATTATGACTGACGTATCACGTACCAATATTCCTTCTACTTTTACTACTTCTTGTTTAATTGTCAAATAGGCGCCAGTGCGCATCGATAACATTAAAAATTTGTTGAAATTTATCATCATTGTATTGTTGTTCTATATGTAGTTTTGTCATAAAATTCTTCATTAAACTTTGTAGGCGTAAATGTTTCCTAGGTTTTTACTTTATTTGCCAAATAGATTAAGTACACAAAAAAATCTATTTTTTACAAGAATTTACAGAAAATTATCTCAAAATTTATGTCTTAATTATATTTAATGGGGTTTAAAATTAGATTTCCTACACTTTGACTTTCCTGATTTCAAAAAAATAGACTTAAAGCATCTGAAAATTTCATTATTCTTGCAAAAATTATAAACTTTATTTAAACTTTCAATAAATATTTATCTTTAATATAGTTTTATCTTTTCGTTTTGGTATTTAGGAGTTAATCTATTTTGCACATTAGGCATCAATGTATAGGTAGATACAATACGTTTGTTTATTTTGCAATTATATTTACATTTAATGAGTTTATTTTATTATGCAAACCGATAAAATAAAGTTGAAATGGGAAAAGAAGAAATATCAACAAAGCTGATTAAAATAATTATAATTAATAATAACTCTTAATTTAAAACTTTTGCAATATACATAATTAAAACATAATAAATCAAGGTAGACAAATTTCAACACATAATTTCCATTAGAAACAATAATTTAAAATAAATTCTAGTGTACTGTATGGTATATTCTCAAAACTCAGAGTCTCTTTCTTTCGAAGCGTTCAGCCGATCTGGTGATACTTTTACCGAATCAAAATCGATTTAAAGTAGTCCAAAATATAACTAAAATAGTTTCAAATCATTACATTTTTGTCAAAACTTTTGTTGAAATGTTTGTATGGGTCTTAAGTTTGCTTATCAGGTCACTGCAATGTATTGAGTAATCCTAATCCATTCACTCCCTAAACTGGAAATAGAAAAGAGTTTTCATCTAGTGACAAATTTGGAATCCTTTTCAACATATTTAATTCGCAACAATATTAAATAATATTTCTTGTTTATTTTATTTATGAAATTTTTTAACAATTATTTTAATTGTTAAGCACTAAAGTCTACCTGTAAAAGCCTTCATTCTTTATACATGTGGGTGTAGAAAAACTAATATTTATTTAAATTACTGTTGACGTTGACAATGTTGGCGTAGATGACGACGATGATGATGACGTTGAAAAGTAAATAAATTTTAATGGAAAAACTTTCATAATTCTTAATGAATTTACTTTTGTTTGTATAAATTTTCGTTGTTATTTATTTATGAATTAATATTTTTTTTTTTTTTTGCTATTAATAAACATTTTAATTTGTTAAGCAAATAAAATGTTTTTTTATTACTATTATTTTATACGTTATTTTGTCTACATACTGGTAAAACGTTTTCTATTTACAAATGCGTTCGTTTGGTCGTTAACTTAATTTGCAGAGAGCTTTTACCCTTTCTACTCTACCACCCATTTAACAACATCTTCATCATCATCATTATAAATGCGTTGTCCTTTAGCAAAGTACAATTTTACCTTTGGCAGCAGCAGCTAAGTACTTAATGAAAATGTAAATATTTAATCAATATAATAACAAAAACGGATTATTATCCTAGTGAACCCTTGAACATGGTTGTTGGGTCCGTCGTCTACTTTATACAACAACAAACATTCATCCTTCCATAAGTCGTGGGAGGACAAACAACTCATGTATAGTAGAAGCAGCAGCAGTATTAACAACAAGTTTTGCTGGTGACAATGATTGCTATATAAAACTGTTGGTGGCAAATGTTTAAAGTGGAAGTAATATAATATTTAGTAGTTTAGGCAAATGGTCGTCACAAAGAGTACCTTAAACACGGACATTTTTCAAATACTGTAAACTAAAAAGTTACTCATTTTAATGTTTTTTCGTTTTTGCCTGCCTTGTAGAAGTTTGTTGTTATTCATTAAGTTTCGGCCTTTATAGATTTTATTTGCCAACCTCTGCTTTAGTGTATGGAAAAATGCGAATATTATGTTCATGATGATTATGGCTTTAGTAGTTTTTTTATATAAATTTCATAGTATTATATTTTGTATCGTTTTTCCCTGTTTAACTGTGTTTGTTTGTATCTTTGACTATAGCTATTACTGTATTTGTTTTAGTCTTTATGTGTTTACTTAAAAATAAATATTATTCTTCATTTTACTAACTTACTTAATTTAATTAATTTTAAGTCTTAAGAGGAAGAGTTACTTGGGGTTACCCAAAATACTTTTATAATCAAGTAATGGCTTAAATACATCCTCTCTGTTAACATATTGACATTTTAAGTCATCATTTTAAAATATTGAAATGTCCGCTTACCTCACATTCTAAGAAATGGGGGTTTGAATAAATCATCACTTTGATAATTAAATTACTACTAAGAGCTTAAATGTGAAAAGAACTGAAACATAAGTAGTTGCGTAACTAGTTCTTTATGGTTAACTAATGTTTTATTTTAAAAAATAAAGGTCACTTTATTAAATAATTTAAACTAAATTTAAATATTCTCTATGAAAAGATGTGTCTCTTTTAAATCAATCATAATTTCTTATACACTTGACATTTTTCATTCTCAGTTTTTTACCAATTTTTTTAACGTGCGTGGAATATTGCAGATTTATCCTCGTGTTAAAAAGTCAAAGTTAAACGGTTTTTATTTATTTAACATCTATTATTTGACACGAAATTGTCAATTATTTTATAGTCAGCTATGAATAATGATTTTTTGTGCATAATAAAGGGTGTTCTTTTCTTTGGTATAAAACATAGTTTTTTAAGAGAAAGCTGAAAAAATCCCTTGAATTGAATTGTAAATTTAAAAAA